AGGTTCTAGCCCTTAGCTACTATAGAGAGAAAGGGACAAAACAAAAATATGACTGCTGGACACCTTCACACCCATAGTAAACTAGATAAAACTAGCCTGAAGAACCTCCTAAAACTCATTTGTACAAAAAGTTAAGTTTTTTTTTTAACCACTTCAAGTCCAGACACTTTTACCCCCTTCCTGTCCAGGCCAATTTTCAGCTTTCAGCACTATCACACATTGAATGACAATTGTGCGGTCATGCAACACTGTACCCATATGCATTTTTTTTGAGACAGATAAAGCTTTATTTTGGTGGTATTTATTCACCACTGGGATTTTTTTTTTTTTTTTTGCTATATAAATGAAAAAGTCCAAAAATTTTGAAAAGTTTTTCTAATAAAATTTTGCAAATAAATATTTCATCATAAATCTTGCCAAAAATGTATTCAGTTATCTTTTTAGTAAAAAAAAAAAACCCAAATTAGTTTATAACCCACCATGGTGACACTGTAAAACATGTGGGGGGGTGATTTTTTTTTTTTACACACACTGATTGCTTTTACACCCATAAAGGTTGTAAAAGCAATTATTTCTCCTTCTCTCTGACTACATTCTTGTAGCCATTGAGAAATACTGTGTGAGCTGTGATTGGTTGTCACATGGTACAAGGCTGTTGTGAATAGCCTTGTACCATGTGACCTCTGATCATTCACAGATTTCACACGTAGTAAACAATGTCAGAAGTGACATCTTGCTTACTACTCTGCATGTGATCACTCATTGGCCAATCAGTGATCACATGATCGGGACCTCGCACAGAGGTCCCGTACGACGATCAGTGTTCCACTGTGTCCGAAGGACACAGCGGACACCGGATTGCGATGCTGCGCGCTCCCAAAAAGCGCACACAGTCCAAAATGGCAGGTGCCGTTTATGAACAGCAACCCGCCCCTGGACTGCCACCGTTTGGCCATTTATATACAGCGGCCAGACGGCAAGTGGTTAAATAGTGATTTCAAAATGTATGTATGCATTTTTGACAGTTTCTGGAACATTTTCAAAGTTGATTTTAGATGCATTTTTCTACTTTTTTTCAATCTTTTGAATTTAACAGGCCACGTGACAGTTGGTCTCAATCTATGATTACGTGTGTTTATATCTCATTCCAACAGTCATTCTTCTAATATTGGGGAAGGACTGAGTAGCTTCATTGGGTTCCAATCACTTCGTGATTAAACACATTCACCTCCTTGAAAACTGCTAGACATCTTGAATTATGCCTGCAAAGATTAACAAACATTTCTTTGTACAGTACATGTGTGTTTGGCACACTAGAAAGACCCGCAATTCCATGTCATTTGTAGTTCTACATTTACATGCATAGAAAACCTGTGACAGATGCTTCTGCTTCACATTTCCATTTACTTCAGTGGGTCGTCTTCTCTGTACATTTTATATTTAAATCCTGGAGAACTGGTTGCACTAAATTGCATGACCAAGGCATGAGGCAGTATATGAGACTTCCACCGAGATGAAACTCACTTGACGTTTAAAATTTATATAGAGAAAACATCAGCCACCTTAGATGGGGCCAGATCTGCAGCAGTTTGGCCTCTACAATCTTGTACATCACTGATCCCTTTACAGTGATTAAGGAGGAAATAGCACATCTCCCGCTGACCTCCTTCTGCTGCCTGTTGGGCAAATAACAAATGTGAAGAAATTGAGAATGACGTCAATAAAAGATTCAGGATCTCACAAATTCAGAGGAAGAAAATCTCAATTCTATCTACTGTAATGACTTGCTGAGTCTCCTTAGTAAAATAATTACCAAATTTAAAAGCATGTATTTAAAGGCAACATTTTTTAAAAACTGCTATATAATTAATTATGAACAAAGCAAAAATAAACCATGGATTTTAAGAAACTGGGTGATTGACATGGTGTAATTTTGATGTAAGACCATTATCATTTGGCCTGGAAAAAGTAAGTTATATTGGAAAAAAAATAGGGATAAGGTTAGCTTTTCTTTTTACTAAGGATCAGGTGTTAGGGTTGGGAATTAGATCTTTTTTGGGATAAGAGTTAGGTTAAGGATAAGAGCATCTGGAACAGTTAGGGGAAGCCTCTTTTCATATTTTTGCTGCATCTGTTATCAGTGATCTCACTAGCTATACATGGTTTTCTGTCCAGAACCTAATCCTCTTGCGTGGTTTCTACTGAAGTAGACAGTTGTGCGTGGGGAACTTCACTAAGAAAGAGAAGCCAAATCCCTTACAGAAACAGGGATGTACAATTCATATTACTCAACACCTGGGACATGCAGGTAGTTTTGTTTCTAACAAATAGGCAAACAGCAGGATTTACTTGACAGATGGAAGCATAAAATGAACCCCCCACACGGTATTTATCCCGGGCTCTACTTGCCCATCTGCAGGCACGGGACAGGCATAATGCGTGTTGTCGAGTAAAGGGAGGGAGGAGAGCAGACACACGTCCGTTTTGACATGTTGGGTATCTATTTATTCAGTGAAACCTAGGCTTTTAAATTTTATAAAAACAATGGGTAAATTATTGCATTTTTGTGCTCCCCTAAAATTAAATTTACTGTGTTTTTTTCAGAAATTTCTAGTTTCCTAGACCTATGCAGTAATATGAGACATAAAAAATTGGAACTACCACTATTTTTATTCTCTGGCCGTGAAAGGGTTAAAGGATAAGTTCACTTTTGGAAACATGTTACATGTTTCACCCATTTTTAAAGAGAACATGTAACATGTTCCCACTCCTGCAGCGAATTCTGAGAACTTCCCCGTACCAGCTGTCACGCTTTGAAAAGGGGCTGTACTGACATCTTTTGTGGACTCTGACAGTTCACTGATTCTTCCTGTCAGTGTGAAACTGCCTGCCAATATGATGTATGGGCAGCTAAATTACACTGACAGTCTGCAGGAGTCCTGCAATCCACCAGCGATCTGCTGATCACTGATGCAATGCTTTCCAGGCTCGTGAGAAAAAAAAAAAAAGTAGATGCACATTTTTTTTTACCTGCAAAAAATGTGCATTTATTATTATTTTTATTTATTTGTTTTTAGGTGAACTTATCCTTTAACAGAGTCAACACTGGAGCCTGATTTGGCAGCTCAACATGTGCTTGTACTGAGCACCCAAGTGCTCCTTGTGTGTGAGGGTAACCTTAAGGAATAAAGTTTTTTTTTTTTTTTTTTTTTTTTTTCCCTTCTCAGTGGGGCCTGATTTACAGATGGGCTTCTGTTGAGCATTAAAAGAGCCCGACACTCCCCATTCCTGACAAGTACCCAATTGATGCTTGTCACACTGCAAGGTCTCTCCCTGCTAGTCCCTGGTTGTGGTGCTGGAGACAGGCAGGGAGGTGAGTAGGAGATAGACAGTGCAATGTTAAAAACATTAAAAGTTTAAAACCGCTTTTGTTTTTAAAAGCCCCAGACATTCCTAAAAAGCACCTCAGATTTAAGTATGGTTTTGGTTAAAAATTTTTTTTTTTTTTTTTTTTTTATCATCAGGACAAGTAGATTGTCATGAGAGACAAGTAGATTGAGTCCCCGATGTAGTCCCTTGGATGAGTAGTTTTTTTTTTTTTTTTTTTTTTTTAAACAGCCCACACCCCTGCAGAAAGGTCCAAAGAAGACACAATGTAGGGTGCGGATTTACTAAAACTGAAGCAAACGGAATCTGGAGCAGCTCTGATTAGTAAACCAATCAGTTTCAACATCAGTTTGTTCAGCTAGGCCTCAGTCACACAGGGTGTATGCATCCTTACCCCATGCGAGGGCTGTGCATACCCATGAATGTCACATGTGCAGCCGCTGCGCCCAATTGACAGCTATGGTACTCCATGCACAGACCTCACACAAGGCACAGATGCATATGCCTCATCTGAACAAGGCCTTAAACTTTGAAAGCCAATTGGTTGCCAAGCACAGCTGCTTCGGTCTTTGCAAATTCCTCAATGTCTCACTTGTATTTTAGAAGAACAGGAAAAAATGGTGGGAGAAGATTTGGAACAGTGGGGCTAACACCAAATTCCACCATTCAGTGCAATCTGGAATGAACAATCTGGTGGTCACTGCCAAGTAAAGGCATAGAAACAATTATGTAGCCAGGTAGTCCAATCTAGAGGCAGCGGGAAGTTTATAAAGAATACAGTATGTATTCTCACTTGTAATGATAGTAGAAACTAAAAAGCTGCAAGGCTCAATCCAGTCCAAGAGGAGCACAATATCTCTATTTTTATATGTATGAGTAAAATTAGTTACTAAAGTCTTTATTTTCTTTTTCATTTAATGTACGTCAGACACTGGGGGGGGGGGGATATGTATTAAAACCGGTGCACTCGGAATCTGGGGCAGTTGTGAATGGAAGCCAATCAGCTTCTAACTTCAGCTTGTTCAATTAAAGCTTTGGCAATAAAATCCAGAAGCTGATTGGTTTTTATGCAGAGTTGCACCAGATTATGCACTCTCCAGTTACAGTAGTTTTTGTACAAGTTTTAAAAAGAACGAATAGAAACAAAATTGCTCTGAATATTAATGGTTACATTTACTGCATGTAACAACATATATTGCTTCCCCTACCAATTGTTATTGAGAGACAGATCAGTTGCAGACAACTGCTTTTCACTGTAACATCTAGAAAACTATTGTTAGGCTGATAGAGAGAAGCTTCCCCGAAACAGATTCCACCAACAGCATTCTGGAAAATGTATAGTTAGTGATAGAGGAGACTGTAAAGAAGAAAGGAAGTGGAAGATCATTGGAGAGGTGTTGCACTGCAGCATGGTATGCATTCCACACACTGGACCCTCAACTCCACTCAAGCCAGGCACCCATACTGGAGGCTCCATGAGGACTCCTGGTTACTTCCTCAGATATGCTTTCTGTGCAATGCGAGTGCATTACTTTTATTTTCCTATATCAAATAAGATCTACTAAACTATGTCAATGCATTCTTGTACAATAACTTACACACTGCGCTATGGTTTAATTTGTTTCCGCTGCGTTTACCTTGTGGAGAACAGTCCTCCCATCTGAGTCTTTCTTGAAGGGGTCTGCTCCATATTTCAGCAATAGCTGGACAACAGGGAGGTGACCGCAGTATGCTGCCCGGTGTAGAGCTGTGCTGCCTCCATGTGTCTGAGCATTGCATTCAGCTCCAACACTCAAAAGAAAGCTACACACAGGCAAATGGCCATTTCGGCAGCAATAGTGCTGGGCAAGAAAGAAAAAACAATGTATAGTTTTAAATACAGTGCGTTTAACAGGTTCATCCTAATGAATAATGTATTGTTATTTATTATACTACTAAAAAAAAAATGAAAGGAACATTTTTTAATCACAGTATAGCATCAAGTCAAACTCCTGGGATATTGATCTGGTCAGTTAAGCAGCAGAGGGGGTTACAGTTTCAGCCACTTTGGTGTTAATGAAATTAACAACAGGTGCACTAGATAGGCAACAATGAGACAACCCCCAAAACAGGTGGTTTTTACAGGTGGAGGCTGTAACGATTGTGTGCAATAGGGACGTGAAACCTATACCATGTTGTTAAGGTCTCACGAGCAGTGTTCTGACTCTTCCCCCCCCCCCCCCTGCAAACTATGGAATTTGTAGCCATAACTTTTAACAATCTTCAAAAGCACCTCTTATCTTAATTAAAACAGATAAATGCAGTGTCCAGAGCTGTAAACAGCTAATTAGTCTTGGCAGGATGTCTGTTTCCACAAAACATGAAAAACACTTTCCTCTGCCCATAAAACAATAACTCAGTCAAGCAGCCTATTCCACAACGTAACAATTCCACATACAATGTGGAATACAAGGTGATACATGACTATATTAGCACATACGAAAGGGGAGAAAGCAGTCTTCTCCCGCCTGGGTGACAAAGGTACGCTGTGATTGGTATCCCTGGGTTCAAAATACAATTCTGAATATTAAACTGCTAGTTATTATAATACAGGCATACCTCGGTTTACAAATTTAATTTGTTCTGTGGGACTTTTCATACAGCGAAACATTTGTAAACCGAAACACCTTTTCCCATAGGAATGCATTGAAAACCAATTAATCCGTTTCTGAGGTCAGAACAAAGTAAACACTGCTAAAATACCGCATGAGTTATTTTATTAAGTCATGCGGTATTTTATTAGTGACAACAATGTGTTAATGTTTCAGCTGTCAGCAGGGTACCCCACAGACAGCTGAATGTAAAAGAATTGTCGGCAAATAAAAAAATAAAACGGTGTGGTCCCCCCTCCCATCCATACCAAGCCCTTCATGTCTGGTATGGATTTTGAAGGGAACTGCCATGCCAAAATGTAAAAAAAAAAAAAAAAATGGTGTGGGGGTCCCCCCCAATATCCATACCAGAAGGACTGTGAAACCACCGGAGCAGGCAGATGATGGGAGCCAACGTTGGAAGGGGAGCCTTTTTTTTTTTTTAAATTTTTTTTTTTTCTGGGCGGCGGCAGGCATCGTGATTGACGTTGGATCTACTGCGGGGGATATTTTTACTTTTTTCTTTTAATAAAGGACTTGTCAAAGACCATGCCTGTCTTTTTTCACACTACACTTCTTTTTTTTTTTTCATGAATGAGCATCGGGAGCATGTACCCCATACTCATTCACATGGGGGGAGGGTCGGGAGCTGGGGGCCAAGGTGATTTGGGGGGAGCCCTCCCTGCCCCAAAGCACCCCCCTATGTTGAGGGCATGTGGCTTGGTATGGTTCGGGGGGGATCACTCGCTTGTTTTGCCCCCCCCCCCCCTTTTCTGACCTGCCGGGCTGCATGCTCGGATAAGGGTCTGGGTATGGATTTTTGGAGGGACCCCATGCCATTTTGTTTTTAATTTTGGCATGGGAGTTACCCTCAAAATCCATACCAGACCCGAAGGGCTTGGTATGGATGGGAGGGGGGACACCATGTAATTTTTTTATTTATTATAGTGCCAGTTTTTAAATGTAATTACCGCTTTTTTTTTTTTCTTCACTAGAGCTCAAAAATTCAGCTGTCACTTTCCTCCAGCTAAAAGAGAACGTTTCTTTTTAGTTTATTTCCCCAAGGTAAAAGAAACAATGTTTCCTTTTAGTTTGTTAAAAGAAACAAAGCTTCCTTTGACTCTGGGGAAAGTGACAGCTCTGTGAGCTATAGTGAAGAAAAAAAAAAAAGCCAGCAATTGCATTTAAAAATCAGCACAGACACACTTCGTATTACAAAAAAAATTTGTAAACCGATGTATTATTTTCAATTGGTTTTCATTTTAAACCAAAAATCATGTTAACCGAGGCATTTGTAAACCGAGGTACACCTGTACCACCTGCACATACTGGAAGTTATTAATATTAGTATGAAACTTTAGTTGGGATTTGGTCATAAAATTTGGTGACTTCCTAACACCCGTCCCCTAAACCGGATGATTGGTCAGTTGTTCTCGGTCCACACCCCTTTGATATCACAGAAAAGGGACAGAGAGGACTTGTTAAGATTAAGCTCTTGTTTTACCATCAACCAAGGAACACCCAAGAGGGCCACAGCAACGTTTTTGCTTGGACAATTGGACTCTGCTAAAACCAAGGACTGCAAGTATTCTGCCTTAACTCCTTTCTTTTATTTCTCTGTTGCATTATTGTTCTCATTATTTCTTTGTAATGTAACTATCTGTAAATATTTTAATTGCATCATTTGACCTTTTCATTAATAGACCCTATTTTGAAAAGTGTTAAATTAAAGGCTTTTAATAAAGAATCCCTCCCTCTTGAAGAGTGCTACTGTATATAATAATCCTCTGAATATACCTGTCTGTGGTGACAGTATGTGTTTACAGATGTTTATTGTTCACATTTGTTCTTGCTAACATTGTGAAGGGTTGATAGTCCTAAAGCCATCTAGTGGCAGTTTGGGTTAATGCCTACATACTCTTGCCACATGAGGCTGGGCATTGTCGTGCACCAGGAAGAACCCAGGACCCATTGCACCAGCGTAGGGTCTCACAATGCATCCAAGGATTTCATCTCGATACCTAATGGCAGTTAGGGTGCCATCATCTAGCCTGTAGAGGTCTGTGCGTCCCTCCATGGATATGCCTCCCCAGACCATCACTGACTCACCACCAACACGGTCATGCTGAACAATGTTACAGGCAGCATAATGCTCTTCACAGCTTCTCCAGAACATTTCACGTCTGTCACATGCTCAGAGTGAACCTGTTGTCATCTGTGAAAAGCACAGGGCGACAGTAGCAGACCTGCTGATTCTGGTGTTAAATGGCAAATGCCAATAGAGCTCTATCAGGCAGTGAGTACAGGGCCCATTAGAGGACGTCGGGCCCTCAGGCCACCCTCATGAAGTCTGTTCCTGATTATTTGGTCAGAGACATTCACACCATTGGCCTGCTGGAGGTCATTTTGTAGGGCTCTGGCAGTGCACATCCTGTTCTTCCTTCCACAAAGGAGCAGATACCGGTCTTGCTGGTGAGTTAATAACCTTCTATGGCCCTGTACAGCTCTCCTAGAGTAACTGCCTGTCTCCTGGTATCTCCTCCATGCTCTTGAGACTGTGCTGGGAGACACAGCAAACCTTCTGGCAATAGTACATATTGATATGCCATCCTGGAGGATGTCAGCAGCCCACATGATAATCTCCAAGGAGCAAAGTACTACAATCATCTCCATGGAGCAGCCTGGCAGCAATCAGCACTGAATAATGCAGAACATGTCCACTCCCATTTCTGCTCCCTCTCTGGAAGGATACGGGGAAAAGAATTCTAATTACAAGTTAATGAAAATATTGGAGATCCAATGCCATAGCAAAGAGATTAATGCTCAAAGTATCGCTAAAAATGAGACGCATTAAGCTGCCTGGCACCATGCTGAACGGGGAAAAGAACTGGATTTTCTTCCATCGTTTTTTTTTAACTCTGGATTATTGTGTCCTCATTTTTGTCCTCTTGTGCTTGTTGATGACGTTGTAACAAATCATTTAGAAAAAACAAAACACCGATGACCTCTCTACACAAGGAGAAAGGGAGCCAAACCTTAGGGCTGATCGGAGGACATCCCGTAGGTGAACTCATTGGATATTTTGTGAGATGACAACTTGCAGGCACAGGTACACAAGGCAGCAGATAAATTGCTAGAGTGACCATGTTCTGTGAATTAATGAATGGATGGTTAAAGTGATTCTAAAGATTAATTTTTTTTTCTAGGAAAATAACAAACATGTCTATACTTACCTACTGTGTGCAATGGTTTTGCACAGAGCATCCTGGATCCTCCTTTTCTTGGGTCCCCCGCAAGCTCTCCTGGCTCCTCCTGTCTGTCGGATGCCCCCACAGCAAGCAGCTTACTATGGGGGCCCCCGCTGCTCCCTATGTCCATTCACACATGGAGCAGCGGCTTATCCCCTCCCCCCTCTCTCCTCATTGGCTGACTGGTTGAGATTGGCAGCAGCGGGAGCCAAAGGCTCCTGTTTGCTATCTCAGCCAATGAGAAGGCAGAGACCCAAGACAGTCAAGGCTGCCATTCACATTGCTGGATCTCGATGAGGCTCAGGTAAGTATTGAGGGGGCTGGGGGAGCAAATGCACACTGAAGACTTTTTACCTTCGTGCATAGAATCCATGAAGGTAAAAAACCTTGAGCGTTTACAACCACTTTAAAGTCTATTGTATGTATTTCTTGACTATGGAAAGAGTCAAAAATCTGGCAAATGTCAACTGTTGGCTGAGGTCATCTTGGCCATTGTGATGGCAGCTACAGAATTTATGCAACACATTCAGCTAGTTCGAACTTGGATCTTTAATGCATTTACCATCATGCAGCCCCGACCACGACAAGTTGCCCATCGTTTAGATCAGGGGTCTTCAAGCCTTCTAAACAAAGGGCCACTTTACTGTCCTTCAGACCTCATGGGGGCCGACTATTGTCAGTTAGAGTAGAAAATATCCTGGCGTCAGTGAGGGTAAATAATCATCTTTGATGTCAGTGGAAAGAATAGTGTCCCAACACTGGTTTGAAGTGAGAAATAGTGCCCAATCATTTGTGTCAATGGTAGGAACTATGCCCCATCATTGGTGTCAGTGGGAGGAATAGCACCCCGTCATTGGTGTCAGTGGAGGAATAGCTCCCCCTCATTGGTGTCAGTGGGAGGAATAGCTCCCCGTCATTGGAAGGAATAGCGCCCCGTCATTGGTGTCAGTGGAAGGAATAGCGCCCCGTCATTGTGTCAGTGGGAGGAATAGCGCCCCGTCACTGGTGTCAGTGGGAGGAATAGCGCCCTGTCACTGATGTCAGTGGGAGGAAAAATGTTCCATCATTGGTGACCATGGGAGGAAAACTGCCCCATAGTTATTGTCAGCGGGAAGAATAGAGCCCCATCATTACTGTCATTTGGAGAAATAGTGCCCCATCATTGGTGTCAGCGGGAGGAATAGTGCCCATCATTGAGGAATAGTGTGCATCATTAGTGTCAGTGGGATTGTTGGTGCCACATTGTTGGTGTCAGTGGAAGGAATAGTGCCATCATTGTTGATGTTAGCAACAGAAAGCATGCTCCATTGTTGGTATCAGTGGATGGATTAGGGCCCTGAGGGCCAGATAAAGGCAAGCAAAGGGCCACATCTGGCCCTGAGGCCGCAGTTTGGAGATCTCTGACCTAGAGGAACAAGCTTAACCTCAAATCAAATAAGAATCCAGCTTCCCAGATCTAAGTAGTACGTGTGAACTCCCTTACACAGACCCCACAAACACACAAAAAAAAAGTGCCAATAGCCCACAGAGTTGACCAGTAGCACACAGAGCCTTGCACCGTACCCCTCCACAGAACAAGCTGCAGGAACATAATCTCAGTCCTACCTTAGGACCAGCATCAGCATGTTCTGCCATGGCTGAAGATGCAGCCTTCATCTCTTAGATTGTAAGATCCAAGGAGCAGGGCCCTCCTAGCCCTCTTGTATTGAACTGTATTGTTGCTGTATTGTCTCCTGTATATTGTAAAGCGCAGAGCAAACTGTTGGCGCTATATAAATCCTGTATAATAATAATGTCTGCCGAGTCTCCCCAGTGCCTGCTGCCATATTCCTGTACATAAGTCTGCCTTGGCCTGTGCCCATCCATGCAGAATCCTTGCATGGAGCTGTGGATTTGGGGCCCGCTACCTGCTATTGTGCACACCCCCTCCGTATTCACATGTTCCAGGAGGCCGCAGATAGTCTCCTGGAAGTGCAACATACAGCCGCGATGGAAGTCACTTCAAAGACTAAGGGAGAATCTGTGTGCTTCCACCCTGACAGACTGTCCCACACTTTGTCATCCCTATCCACTGTCTCTTCTGAGATACCCTAGGTACAAGTACCCTCCAGGTTCAGTGCCCCTGACATGGGGGGCTGTACCTGGGAGGCATCTGCCACTAGCATGAAGGCCTGAAAGGAAAAATAATAAACGGCTCCAGCTGCTGCCTTGATGTCCAGTGAGGAGAAAGAAAGAGAGCAATGAGAGACACTGCTCTCAGGCACAGCGCTGTATTGAGATCAGGCTCAGGTAACTAAAAGGGAGGCTGGGGGGGAGCTGCACACAGAATGCTTTCTACCTTAACGCAGAGAATGCATTAAGGTTAAAAATAAAAAAAAAACATCTGCCTTTAGAAACACTTAAAAAGTATAAGTCCAGCCAAATACAAACTACATTTAAACCTGTACCCACACCTATTCTACGCCTATGCTAACTACCCTGTAAAGGAAAGATGTCAATACTTACCTATCCGGAGGGCTCTCTGGTCACAATCAGTGTAGATGAGGGACAGGTGACATAGGGTGCCCCACAGTAAGTCTTTGGGTGACTTCATTGCCCAGGCTCTGCAGCTGCATCTCCCTTTCACTGAAGCCAGCTACCGGGGTGATCATGTGTCATGTGTAAATATGGACATTTTTCCTTTACAGGGTAGTTAGAATATGTTTAGAATGTGGGTAGGAGCAGGTTTAAGTATAGTTAGTATTTGACAGGACTTCTGCTTTAATTTGCAGGGATTCCTTTTCACTTCCTTTTTTGTCTATGGGACAGGAAGTAAAGGTATATCTTTCCAAAAAACTAACAGGGCTTATTGACCTTCTCTTATTCTGTCCAAAGTGAAAGAAAAAAAATATTTGCCTATAGTTCCACTGTAGCCTCCCTGGTGGTATTCCCGAGTGTAGCTAGGGGTAAAGTTTCAGTACCACAAGTGGTAACCCCGAGATACACTCGGGCTTACCATGCGGCGCTGCTGCTGCGCAACCCCTCGATCACTTACCTTGTCCTGCGCTCCCGCGATGTCCCTCCTGCAGTGTCCCCGGCAATGTAATCTGGCGGATGCCGGCATCTGTCATCTGGGTTCCGTCCCCTGCGAGCGTCGGGACGTATGGGGGACGGAACGGCGGGAAATTTGAAAATGACAAAAAGTGACATTCCCTAAAATCACATAGTAAAACATTACTGTATCAAACCATTTCACATACATTTTGTCCTTAGTGCTTTGTCCTGTGCCCTGCCTGCATTTTTACTGTTCTTTCTGCCTGGAAACTGAGAAATGTCAATGGCGTCCAAAAAGCGTCCCTTTAGGTCAAAAGCGGTTTTAGACCAGCTAGAGAACATCGATAGTAAATTAGAACCACTTGCAGAATTGAGTGATAATGATTCGTGGGGAAATTTGTCATCAGACACTGAAAATGATTTTACGACTTTGCTCAGTGATGTGCGAACTTGGCGCTATTTTTCAAATTTCAGCATTTTTGGTTTGATTATATTATTGAATTAAATGTATTATTATTATATTATTTTTTATGATTATTTATTAAATTATAATTTATGATTTTGTGTTTCAAGTTTTATCATACCCGGGATGTTTACTAGACTCTTGTTTGGACAGATTTCAGTGAGTTATTCCTAAAAATTACAGGCCTACAATAAAAAAAAATACACATTTCCATGCAAAAAAATGTACCGCTTTGAGCACAGAAATATGGACATAATCAGACCGCTAGGGAGGTTAAATATCTTTACTGCTCCTAACGCTTCCAAGCATAATAAGCATACCCGAAACCAAATCAATTTGGGAGTGTAACCATGTTTGCTGGTTAATAGGGTCTCAAATAAAACTTATTATGGACTGGAGTACATGGCTATGGAAAACAGAGACTACTTGAGTTCTGACTGAACCAGGCTGCTTATAGGGTTCATAAAAATGTGCAAGAAGCAGCTTAATTTTTTTGTTTTGTTTGCTTGAAGCTTTTTAGGACATGGTTATTAGAGGCAATCTTATGTCAATGGGGTTGGGATGGCCTCAGAGAGTCTGCATAAGGGAATGTAAGGGTTGTTGCTTGGAGCACAGAAATTAGTCTGTAAATGTGCATGGGTCTTGTGGGACTGTTGCAGATCCTACTACTGTTCTAACACATGTAGCAAGGGTAGAAATTTGCCACAGAGCTACAGCACTATCATATAAAAAAACAACACTGACAAATACTTTACCCTGACTACATAAAACAAATAAAAGGTATAAATGGTAGCGGTGCACCGAAATGAGAATTCTGGTGCTGAAATGGATACCGAAAATTCAGACTGCATGTGGCCGAAAACCGAAACCAAAAATGTCTGCATAGTGAAGGGAAAAAAAGCCGGTAATTACATTTAAAAACCGGCAGTGACATATAGGGGCAGCCAGTGAGGGAGCCAGAGTGTATACACTGCTCCTCTCCTGCACCCTCCTTGCCTGGACCTGTCACTCACATGCTATCACATAGGGGACTACTGGGAAAAAAGTCAGTAATTAAATTTAAAAACCGTCAGTGATATTTAGTGGTAACTCACTGTATAAACTGCTCCTCTCCTGCCTTTCTCCACAAACAACACCCCCCCCTCCATATGCAGTACACAAAGCCCCTTATTGGTACCTGTATTGGCTAAGATGTTCCTATCAGCACAATGCCGAGAGGGCTATTTTCAGCCAATATGTTTCGACCGCCGAAATTTTGTGCATCCCTAATAATTGAGGCTTAAAGGATAAGTTCACCTTTTGAACATGTTACATGTTCCACACGTTTTTAGGGTGGAACATGTAACATGTTCTCAAAGCCGTAGCTATGCCTGCCACACCCCTCCCTCTGACAGAAAACAGGGAAACTTCTTCCTGTACGGTCAGATTTGAAAACCGCATGGCCATGCAAGGCTCCGCCCACACAGCCGTGTCATTCATTCAAAGACTTCCTTAGCCTTAGCGGCTGTGGGCTTGTAGTTTTCAATGAACTACGACAACTCTGTGGATTGCCGTGGTAGTTCATTGAAGCTTCCTGTCAGAATGTCTGCTTGCTCGTACATCCTGTATGGCAAGCAGATATTCTGACAAGTCTGCAGGAGACCTGCATGGCATCAGTGATTTACTAATCGTTGGTGCAATGCTTTTCAGGCTAATTTGGACAAAAATAATAAATGCACAATTTTTTTACCTGTACAAAAATGTACATTTATTATTTTTGTCCAAAAGGTGAACTTATCCTTTAAAGTGGAACTAATGTTATGCAAGCAAAAGCCCCAAAAATTCAGTGTAATTAATACAGACCTCTAACCAAATGTATATATTTCGGCATTCAGAAGACTTGCGGTGTTCTTGCTCTGTACACAGTAGAAGGGCTACAATTATCTGAACATGGTACTGTGCAAGAAAGAGGCAGCTTCACCAACTTCTACAGGCTCTCTACATCATTTCATAGAGGGATCAATGAGCAGCCCACAGATATTGTACGCAGCTCATGGAAACCTCTATAAATAAAGCCACCGCACTGAGAAATCTACATTTTTAGCATATAAACATAAAAATAAAGGCAATTATTATATCAGCAGATGCAAAATCGAGAAGACATTAAATAAAACACATCTCCTTTAGATGTTTGCTTTATAGTCACTTATTAAATGTGGAATGGTACAGGAGTCACTTTATTTCACAGACATTGCAAAAACTACATTTCAAACATACAACCTGGTGGAAGATAAATACACAGGGCTCACCAGTGCTGTGTAGCCAAAGTGATCAGTCAGGTTAGGATCTGTTCCCTTATGAATAAAGCGCTGGACACGGTCCAAGTCTCCATCCAGAGCGGCAGACCAAATTCCTGTATAAATGACAGTTTAAAATAATAATAAAGCTGACCCCACACCACTTTAATCAGTAGTTTCAAGTGTCTCTGAATTATTATTATTATACAGTATTTATATAGCGTCAACGGTTTGCTCAGCGCTGTACATTATAATGGAAGACAGTACAGTAACAATACAGTACAATACACAAGGGGTTCGAGGGCCCTGCTCCTTGGAGCTTACAATCTAGGAGTTTCTGAATCTGCTTTTCCCATTTTACTATACTCCACTGAAAGGATAAGTCCACCTTTTTAAAAAAAATTAATAATTGCACTTGTTTGGCAGGTAAACAAAATATGCATTTACTATTTTTTTTTTCTTTGGAGCCTATGAAGCATTGCACCCATGACCAGCAAATCACAGGTGCAATGTCAGGTTCCTGCAGACTGTCAAGTGTAGCTGTCTGCCTGTACCGCCGATATTCATTAAATGCCAGGCAGGCAGTTACTGAATGACAGGAAGCTCACAGGACTACAAAAGTGCTCACTAGCCCCCTCGAAGTTCATTGAGAACTACAAGCCTTCAGCTGCAAAGGCTGACAGAACGTGCATGCATTCATTCACAGGACTCTAAATCAGGGGGTGTCCAAACTTTTTTCAAAGAGGGCCAGATTGGATGAAGTGAACATGGTGGAGGGCCGAACATTTTTCCAAACATTCTTTGAACCATTACAATTAAATGCAAATAAATTATTTTATGCCAAGTTACCGTATTTTTCGCCGTATAAGACGCACCTGACCATAAGATGCACCTAGGTTTTAGAGGCAGAAAACAGGAAAAAAAAAAATTCTGAACTAATGGACTGCAGACACAGTACAGGAGATGACCAGAGACTGCGGACAGCACAGGGATGACCAGAGACTGCGGACATAGTACAGGGGATGACCAGAGACTGCGGACAGCACAGGAGATGACCAGAGACTGCGGACAGTACAAGAGATGACCAGAGACTGCGGACAGCACAGGGATGACCAGAGACTGCGGACAGCACAGGGATGACCAGAGACTGCGGACAGCACAGGGATGACCAGAGACTGCGGACAGCACAGGGATGACCAGAGACTGCGGACAGCACAGGGATGACCAGAGACTGCGGACAGTACAGGGATGACCAGAGACTGCGGACAGTACAGGGATGACAGAGACTGCGGACAGTACAGATGACTGCTGACCTTTGGGGAGGTGGGGAGCGGGTACCTGAATTTGACAGGTACCCGCTCTTACTTCCGCAGAGTTTTTGTTTGATCTTACCTGTTCCTCGATCCAGCCACGCGCGCTGTCTTCCCAGCTTCTGTAATGGCGCTCGGCATGACAGCCGGGTGCCCAGTGCGCATGAGCGAGAAGCACTTGCGCTTTGTGATTGGTCCGGCGGCTTCTGGGATCTGTCATGTGTCCCAGGTACCGCCTTACCATTCACAAAAAGCACCGCTTCTTGCGCATGCGCACTTGGCACCCGGCTGTCATGCCCAGCGCCCACACTACAGAAGCCGGGAAGACAGCGCGCCGCTGGATAGAGGAACAGGTAAGGTCCCGCTGCAGAGCTGAGCGGCCGGCCCGGTATTCTGACACGGCCGCGGTGGAAATACCAGACCGGCCGCTCCATATTCGCTCCATAAGACACACTGACACACTGACATGGAGGGCCGTATTAAACCGACCCTCGGGCCGTAAATGGCCCGCGGGCCGGACTTTGGACATGCCTGCTCTAAATGATGTGACAGTGTGGGTGTAGCCTCACACGGCCGCGTTCTTTTCAAATTGTGACATCAGGTGCAGGGAAAGGTTCCCTGGTCCACTATTATGTGGGGTGGTTGGGGAAGTAACGAGCCTAAAGGTCTTTAGTAAGAGGAATGGCAATTTTTTTTTAAAATTGTGATTTTTTTTTTTGTCACAGTTTTTGGGAAAATGAAGAAATTAAATAAAATTTGTTTTTTCTTTTAACATACTGTCACCAGTGGAGTACAGCGTCATCATATGACTGGTGTGGCAGTGATCAGAAATACTAACTGGTGACAGTATGTTAAAAAAAAAAAAGTATTTTTTATTACATTTTTATTTATATTTTTAAACATTTTTTCTTTTATTAACTTTTTTTATTTCATTACTATTTTTTTCATACTTTCATCACAGTAGTTCAGTGTCACACGCTTACTGTCCTCTTTATTAGGTACACCTGCTTAATTGCTTAGTAACACAAATTGCTAATCAGCCAATCACATGGGAGCAGCTCAATGCATTTGCATTTAGGCATCTAGATGTGATGAAGACAACTTGCTGAAGTTCAAACCAAGCATCAGAACGGGGATTTAAAGTGTTACTAAACCCAGAACGTAAAAATCATCCTGTATATGCAGTAAAGCATGCTTGTTATACTCACTGTGGAACATAAGGGGTTAATCCTCTGCATTGTGAAAAAGACGTTTGAGCCTTTCTTCTCTGTTCCTCCACCTCTTATCTCTTGATAAGACAGACTGAACCGTAGGCATTTTGCACATGCTCAGATTGGTGTGTATTGCTAGAGATGTTTTGTTTTTTTTTTTACTTGGGAGAGTGCATGTGATCAGCACAGGGCCAATCGGCACTGGTCAGACAGAGGTCAGGGGTTTTGTAACCTCCTAGAGCAGAAAGAAAACTCCTCCTACAAGCTTTAGCTAGTGCTTGACTGAACCCTGATGGAGGCCACAAGACTACTCTAACTTCTGATGAGAAAAGGTATTTAGCAGTTTATATTTACTAAAATATTTCCATGTTGTGTGTACTGTGGGAGACAAGATATAGTGGATGCAGGGTCCTGGGTTTAGTAACACTTTAAGTGACTTGAACTTGGCATGGTTGTTGGTGCCAGACGGGCTGGCCTGAGTATTTAAAAAACTGCTGATCTACTGGGATTTCCATGCACAACCATCTCTAGGCTTATCCCTTTAGAAAGAAATTAAATAATGTTTTCAGTTTGTGGTTCTCAGATACAGCTTAGTTCCGCATTAGTGAATGGGGAAATTTCTATGGCCATTGCCTATTAAGGTTTTTCAAATGTGGAAATACAAAGCATAACAGTCATTAAATGTTCTTTTCCCCGCTATAACCTATGAAAGGCAAATGAAGTTCACATGGTGTAAATGCACACAGTATCTGGCCTCTGCTGGTTGTGCAAGGAAAGTTGCTTCTAGGATCCCAATATTTCTCACATTTTGCTGGGGTCATTCAAGTGAGTTTGTGTATGTGTGTGATAGCTAGGATATGTTTTCCAGTAGGTGGTTTCTTGTATGGATTCCCTTGCACCACCTGGATAATGGTGCATCTTGTAATTTAGTGTCATGGTAGTGGTGTGTTATTTGAAGAGTGTTCAGCCGTCTCAATCAATCCCTTCAGATGTGTTCGTTCCCAAATCTGGACAAGGCACAACTCTGGGCAATGGGCTCTGCCTGGACAGATGATCAGAACACACGCAGAGTGCAGTGCAAGAATAGAATAAAGGAACACACACTCCATATTATTGCCAATACATACCCGGCTTTACCTTTTCACACAGCTACAGAGTTCCTGGGTAGCAGAAGTTCCACTACTGTTCAATAACAGTACAAAGTCATTCATACCATGTCACCAGACTAGAGCAGGAGCCAATAGCAGAGAGCCCTAGCCATAGCCCGCCCCCTCACTATGTGTCAGGATCTGCAGCAAGGGCAGGGGGAGGGGGGTGCTGAAATGGGCGGAGCCTTGAGACTTATTTGAGCTACTTTGATGCCCCTTTATAAAATGAAAATGCACTGGGTAGTCTAGGCGCAGGAGAGTTTCCCAACTCAAAGCCCCCCTTGTGCACAGTGGCCCCCCTCCCCCTTGGGGCCTATGCACACATTAGTGATACACTAGTGTACTGTGGGGGGAGTACTGAAAGGGGGACCAGGTATGTCTTGACTGCTGAGTTCTGCTGGGGAGAACATGGCCTGAGTATTTGGGGGGGTTGACATGACCTGAGTACTGCAAGCCTCCCTTGGTGCTTGGTAGCCCAGTCCAGGCTCGCAGTACCCTCTGACACGGTTGTAGTGCCGCCATGCAGTAAGCACACCGGGTCTCGTCCCTCTTCAGCCCCCTCTGCAGGGCTGTCTTTAAGGAGGGACAAAAGGGGCAGCTGACCTGGGCCCAGTCATTGTTGTGGGGCCCAAACAGCTGTCCCCTACTTGCCAACTGTACTGGTTTACAATCCCTTGAAGTCTTAGTCCCGGGTGTGTCCAACATATCAGTGTGAAGTGCTGTCACTTATGCTGCCCAGCTCTGTCCAATTGCCATGTACAGATGACTCATGTGTGCAGACCCTGTCAGCATTCATATGTAAATAGTGGCTGCAGTTTGGCATTCATATGTAAATAGTGGCGACATTCATATGTATATTATGCCCCCCAAACCCCCCAGAGGTTCCAGCCACCGCCTCTGCTGGTGGTCATTGTAAATTCCCCCTTACATTGGTGGCTAGTGTAGAAACGTATTGGTCGTTGGTGTAAAATCTCCCATTACATTGGTGGTCAGTGCAAACTCCCCATTACATTGGTGGCTAGTGTAAATTTCCCTTTAAATTGGTGATAAGTGCAGAACTGCTCTTACACTGGTGGTCAGTGTAAATCCCCCTGACATTGGTCATCGGTTTTAACCCCCCTAACAGTGGTGGTCGGTGTAGAAATGTCACCTCCCATCCCCATCCTGCACAAGCACTGCCACTGATACCACCCCCCCATCAGCACTGTCACTCATCCCATCCACCCAGCACTGCCACTTATCCTATCCAACCCAACACCACATAAGATCCCATCAATCCTCCCCCCAGTACTGCCACTGATTACATTCCCCTCTCTCCCCCCGCACAGCGCTGTCATTGATGCCAGGAGTCCTATGAGTTTTCTATCTATTGTTGGGTCCCCTAACCTTCTCGGTCCATGGTGTGCAGGAGTGAGGAGATGATGTGATGTAACCTTCAGCAACAATCAGTGAGATGTAAATAAGTGCTGTAACCTGTAGCAACCAATCAGTGAGTGGTAAGGATGTGCAGTAACCTCTAGCAACCAATGTGTGAGCGGTAATGATGTGTAGTAACCTCTAACAAGCAATCAGTGAGTGGTAATAATGTGCAGTAACCTCTAATAATTAACCAGTAACAAGTATTGATGGGCAGTAACCTCTAACAACCAGTGAGCAGTAATGATGTGCAGTAATCTCTAGCAAGCAAGCAGAAATCATGTGCTTTAACCTCTAGCAACTAATCAGTGAGTGGTAAGGATGAGCAGTAACTCTAGCAACCAACCAGTGAGTAATAATGATGTGCAGTAACCTCTAGCAACCAATCAGTGAGCAGTAATGATGTGGAGTAACCTCTAGCAACCAGTGAGTGGTCAGGATGTGCAGTAACCTGTAGCAACTACTCAATGAGCGGTCAGGATGTGCAGTAATCTGTAGCAACCAATTAAGAAGCAGTAATCTATTGCAATTATTCAGCAAGCAGTAATCGTGTGCTGTAATCTCTAGCAACTAATCAGTGAGCGGTAACGTGTGCTTGGGGGGGGGACAAGAAAAAGTTTGCCCTGGACCCAATCACTACTAAAGATGGCCCTGCCGCCCTGTGTAAACATTCGCCGTCCTCACCTCTCTGGAAGTCCATCTCCTGCACAGTCTCCCTCAGCCCGCTCTCCGCTCCCATACAACACCCATCACAGCCCCGGGGATGAGAGGAGCAGCCACCCGCTCCGTCCATACTAACCAATACAAGTCACACTACACAACATACACCGGCCATGAGCCTCTAACCAGCGTGTGCCCAGCGGCCAATCAGCCAACGAGAAATCTCATCCAATCGGCTATTGAGAAGAGGCCTGCCAATAAGATTATGCCTCCACTGCACTTGTCATCTTCCACATCCGCCAGTAGATGGCAGAGCAATGTCCTCCCAGGATAAATCTTTACCCCACCACGCACAGAGCTAGTACAAGGCATTGGCTGTTTCGTTTTCTCCTGGAGTTCGCCAATTATACTGAGTTCATTAAGCACGACGTTCCCCTCAGACTATAAACTCCAGAGAGCAGCGCGCCCTCTTCTAGGACCCAGGAGGAGGCCGGCCTGCAGCTGTGTAGCTCTCGGTTGCCCGGGTAACCAGACATCAAGGAACAACCAATCACTTTGCGAGATTTCCTCCGTCCTGCCCAGTTCTCTTGCCATTGGCGGACGAATACCCAGTAGGGGTGTTTCGAGCTCTGGAGGCGTCCAATCAGTGCTCCGTCGCGCTGGTGTGTGATTGGTCAATCGGTGTCACAGCCTCCTGACTGGGGAGTAGTAAGATGGCGGCAGTGGAGCAACAGAGTGTTGGGGCCAGGTGGAAGGTCCCGGGCTGCCTCTGGCTGTTGGCAGTGCTGGTGAGCTCAGTGAGGGCAGATCAGACGGAGGAGTACCTGAAGAGAGAGCACTCACTGAGCAAACCCTACCAAGGTAAGTCCGGCCATGGGAAGGGAGGACAGAGGGAGTGAGTGGAGGGCAATTATATAACACAGCCCCGGGGGAGGTGAGGGGGGCTGGTGAGGGCAGTGCTCAGCATTGAATGTGGTGATGGGAGACCCAGTCCTCCCCTGTACTTCATTCCACACCCAGGATACACTCATTGCTTCTAAGAATACCAAGCCTCATCCTGGGCTCACACCACTGCCTCCCCTTCCCTTAGGCTACGTTCACACTAGCTTTGTAAGCAGGCATTAGACAGGCATTTGGGAAGCATTTTTAATGCTCCTCAAATGCCTATGAAAATGATACACATGGCAGCACACAGTGCTGTTCACATTGAAGCATTAGCTTCATGGCATAATTGACGCCTCATGTCAAGTCAGGAGTTGAAGCCTTTCATCTCCTACAGTTCAAGTCTAATGTGACACTCCTCAAATGCCTGGCAGGTGTCTGTGAGGCGTTAGTACCATTAACTTCATTTATAGGTGTTTCTGGTGCTGTTTTAATGCTTGGTAAATGCCTCGAAAATGTGCATAGGGCATTTGGGGAGCAGGGACAGACTGACCATTTGGAAACTCTGGCACTGCCCGAGGGCCCAGGGTCAGTAGGGGGCCCCATGAGATGCCCCTAGTATCCTTTTCGTAGGCTTTTTGAGTTTGGGCAAGGACACAGGGGCCCCATGATCCCCTGTTGCCCGGGGGCCCCATGAGTAGTCAGTCCGCCCCTGTTGGGGAGTGTTCTGGGAGGACGTCCATGGACACCCTCTCAGAACTAGCCATCCGTGCTGTAGCCATCCTTCAGCTATAGCGCAGCTGGGGACATGTTAAAGCAGTTGTAAAATTAGTTTAACCACTTGCCCTCCAGAGAATTTACCCCCCCCCCCCTTCCTCACCAGACCATTTTTTTGAGATACAGCACTGCATTATTTTAACTGACAGTTGCTCGGTCATGCAGCATTACACCCAAATTAAATTGATGTCCTTTTTCCCCCACAAATAGAGCTTTCTTTCTATGGTGGTATTTGATCACCTGTGCGCTTTTTATTTTTTTATAAACAAAAAAAGATCGACAATCTTAAAAAAAAAAAAAAAAAAAAAAACAATATTTTTGACTTTTTACTATAAAACATCCAGTGAAAAAATGTAAAACATCTAGTTTCTTCATAAAATTTAGACCAAAATGTATTCTGCTAGATGTCTTTGGTTTAAAAAAAAAAAAATCCAAATGCGTGTAAATCGGTTTACAGAAAAGTTATAGCATCTACAAATGGCGGTGTATACTGGAATTTAAACTTTTTTTTTTTATACTAGTATTGGTGACGATCAGCGACTTATAGCGGGACTGCGGCAGCATTCTGACACTGGGGGGGAACTGACTAACTGCCACTGACATCCCCAGTGACACTAATACAGTCATCAGTGCTAATAAAAAGCATTGACACTGTACTAATGACACTGTAATAATGACACTGAGCAGGAGAAGGGGGTGATCAAAGGGTTAACTGTGTGCTGTTTTACTATGTATGCTGTGTATGTTTTAATTGGGGAAATACACAGCAGCATGTTACTGCTGGTAGGAGAGAGACCTGTGTTTACAACACATTACTGGGTGCAGGTAGGGAATCTTCGGCCAGGACCCGGTGATTCACATATGCAGCTGCCATATGTGGCGCGCACCCCCCTACCCAGAAATGCTAAATCGTGTATATATACATGATTTTGCACAGCCCTGCCACTCTCTAGCAGTAGTTCTGCTATAGGGCGGTTGGGAAGTGTTTAACCACTTCAATGCCAGGCACTTTTACCCCCTTCCTGCCCAGGTCAATTTTCAGCTTTCAGTGTTGTTGCACTTTGACAATTGCACGGACATGCAACACTGAATAAAACTGAGTTGTGTGTTTTTTTTTTTTTTTTTGCTAAATAAACAAAAAAAAAAGCCACAAAACTTTTGAAAAAAAGAAAGCGTTTTTTCTTTGTTTCTGTTATACAGTTTTGCAAATAAACTTTCTTCATAAATTTAGGTCAAAATGTGCTCCAGGTTCCTGTTACTTGAAATAGTTTGTATAGGCCAAGCTTGCCCCAATGAACTATTTCAATTACCAAGAAATTTGGCTGCTGTTAGTGCCGTATAAACTGTATGTAAACATCATCTGCACACAGTGTACAAAATCGAGTTGGGCTGAGCGCTGCTCAGCCATTCACGGGAAGCCTTGTATTTTTTTTACAAATTCAAAGCTTCCTATAATTAGCTGAGGTGGAGTAACAAGTAGATGACGTCGCAGTCTTTACCTGAGCTTAATCAGAGGAGGCTTTGTCTTCATTCATAAAAATTCAATACTTCCTGTGAATGGCTGAGAAGCGCTCATTCCCTGTATCGATGCTGAAACCAAGTTTTGTATACTGTGTGTAGCTGATGCTTCATACAGTGCAGTGCATAAAGAAACTATCAAAGTGAATAATGTAGCAAATCAATGAATAAAACCAGATAAATTCTATCCAAACGTGTCTCAGTGTAACCAACTACGGAATAATGAACAATATAGTCCTTCCAGTATAAATCTGCAAGCTTATGGTGCCAGGACAGCACAGTGGCTAAATAGTTAACACTTCCGCCTGGCAGTACTAGGGTCGTTGGTTCAAATCCCAGCCACAGCACCTCCTGCCTGGAGTTTGCATGTTCTCCCTGTGCCTGCGTGGGTTTCCTCCGTGTACTCCAGTTTCCTCTCACACTCCAAAGACATGCTGGTAGGTTAATGGAATCCTGTCTAAATTGTCCCTAGTATGTGTATGTATGAATGTGAGTTAGGGACCTTAGATTGTACACTCCTTGAGGGTTAGGGACTGATGTGAATGTACAATATATATGTAAAGTGCTGCGTAAATGGACGGCGCTATATAAGTACCTGAAATAAATAATAAATAATCACGGCAAACAGTGTTCAGTCCCACCAAGTGCTCTTTATCCAGTGCAAAGTCCTCCACCAATATGCACTTGTCAGAGAGCTACTTGGTGAGTAGCATATATATCTTAACCATGAGGTCTATGTCATCCGCTGTCCAGCAACTTTACCCTAAGGAGAGATGCTCACCACACGGAGCCCCAGGATTGCTATATAGTACAGTAGTTTAATAATCATAAAAGCATTCCACTTGCAGTTTTCTATTTACTTTGGTATTGAGATTCTGTCACTTTCTTTTTTGTGCCAGCTACTTCCATCTCTGTAGCGCTTGCTGTTTATTTTTGATTTTGATGCTTCGTACAGTTTGTACAGCGCTGACAGCAGCCACATTTTTCAGTAATGGAGATGGTTTGGCCCAAATTAACGATATGTGAAACTATTTCCTTGTCCACACAACCCGGTGCAGTGGTCCTGGGGTTTGAAAACTGCATCGTTCTTCCTCTTCTTTTCCAAGGTACGCTGGGACAGATCACAGCAGTTCTGATTGGTGAGCAAGGTTACATGCCATCATATTATTATTATTATTTTTTTTTTTTTTTTTTCCTGAATTAACAAAAACTGCTTGTAGAGGAAGAGCATTACTACTTGCCTACACCTCTGCCTGTTCTTGGATTTTCACCCCCTGTAGGACTATGACCTCAGGCAAAATCTTTACATCTGTCACCTCTAAGGGTGACAGATGGCTGCATTTCCTTCCACACACTGTTGTTTCATCCGCCAGTTCTTGCGTCACTGCAGGACACAGTAATGACACAGGGCCAGAAAATAGGAACACAGTGCATGGTGGGCATACAGGCAGCTGTCACTCCTGGAAATGATGGTTGTTAAGATTCCTCTAGAGGACGTAGTTATGCTAAGGCATAAGGATCCAAGGAGTAGGAGGAGTATTAAAGTGTATCTATGGTCAGAATGTAAAATCATATATTTATTACTACATTGTTTTCAGTTATTTCTAGCCCTCTCCTATTGATCTGATATTGTAGTAAACCTGCTTTGTGAAGATCCATACACATTTTCTTCTTTTTATTTTGCAATGTGTATTCACTATACCCTGTAGGTAGGCACTGGTGTGTCACACATTTCACAGAGCCTGCCTTCTGACCTACAGAGGTGCTGAGAGGAGGAGTTTCAGGAGACTGAGTCAGTGCAGGAATCACTGCTTGCAGGCAACAATGTACCATGGGATATGCAGTCCTTCAAAATTGAAAGCAAACAGTAGAGGAGAATCTGCGAAGCATGCAGGGAATCCAGAAAGTTGTATAAAGAGGTTAGAGCTCACAACCTGATAGGTGAATTTTCAGGGGTGTGGAAAGTTTTTAAAAAAACTACTTGTCCAAGGGACTAAATCTGTGTCCCAATCTACTTGTCCAGATTAAAAAAAAAAAAAAAATTTTTACCCAAAACCTTATTTAAATTGGAGGTTTTAAGAAATTTTTACATTTTATTATTAGAAAATTTTATTAGGAATGTTTTAAAAACAAAAGGGGTTTTATGGTTACTTGAAGCGTGCAATATTTTTTAACATTGCGCTGTTTATCCCCTCCTCCCCTCCCTGCCTCTCTCCAGCAACACACTCTGGGACTAGCAGGGAGCAGAGAGACCTTGCAGCGTAATGAGCACCGATTGTGTGCTTGTCTGGAAAGGGGAGTGTCAGGCTTATCCTTTATCCCTTTTGCTGCCAGAACCATTTTTTGGAAAAGTTTTTTAAAAAAAAGTAATTTTAGGCCTGAAGATTACACAAAACCCCCAAACATGATATATTGTTTTAAATCAGAGACCCTAGAGAATAAAATTGTGGTAGTTCCAATTTTCTCAGATACCACAAAATTTCAGTAAAAAATACAAGTTGGTTAGTTTTAGAGCACAAAAAAAGCAATAAATTACCCTATTTTTTTGTAAAATATAAAAGATGAGGTTGCAGCGAGTAAATAGATATCCAACTTGTCAAACCTTAAATTTTGTGTGCGCTTGTGAAATGGCAACAAACTTCAGTACCATGTATTTTGACGCTTCAGGTCACCAGTGTAGTGTTACAGAGGAGGTCTGGTGCTAGAATTATTGCTCTCATTCTGGAGTGTGCTGCGATATATAACGTTTATCACAATCGACGTTCTCATGCGTAGGCACCCCACCGTGTGCTTTTATGTTATACGTGCGTATATGTGGGGGAGAGCTCAATTGTTTTTTTTGGGGTGTGGGCAATGTTATGTGCTTGGGTGTAACTTCATTTTTTAAGATTTTAAAAAAAAAAATTTTTTTTTACTTCATCACGTGATGTTTTGTTTGGTGACAGGTTCTCTTTATTGAGACATCCAAGGTCTAAAAGACCCTGGATGTCTCCCCTCTGCTCCACTGAATGTAATGCAGTGAAAAACGTATTGCATTACATTCTTTCCTGGCTTAAATTGCCGGGAATCTCTCAATGGGAAAGCGGAAGTGACATCATAATGTCACTTCCGGGTCAGGACAAGAAGTGGAGTGGACGTGTCCGCACTCCTCCTTCCCCTCTAGCCACCGGTGGTGAGCCGTTCCCGAATCCACAGATGGGCAAGCGGAGACAGTGAGCAAGGGGAGCTTCACATGGGGGGGGGGGGTTTGAGAGGCTGGCACTCTGGAAGCATTTGGGTGGCAGCTCTGCCGCCGATTGCTTCCACACTTGCCTGCAGTACGGCTGAAGGTAAAAAAAAAAATTACCTGCCTGGAACTACATGTGTCTGGTGATAGGAATTCAGCAGCCCTACTAATGTTGGATTGTCAAAAATAACTCTTGTTTTGTATTGCTATTACAATGCTGATGTTATAAAATGAAAGTTTATGCTGAGACCATTGAACTCCTTTAATGCTTGTGTCTTGCAGCCAGTCGTTTAGGCAGAGATTTTTCTTTAGAAGAGTCACTTAAAGTGTAACTAAAGTACTTACCAGCAATGCATCACCCACAAGCTCCTTTGCCACCACTGACATTTTCACCCAGTCATCTGTTGAGTTCTGCCATCTTAACTTGCTTGCCCAGCATGACATAATTTCTGGGCACAGGAGTTAAAGTGGAAGTTTAGGCGAGAAAATGAAAATGGGTAGACACGCAGGTAAGTAGCTTTAATGCAGAAGACACCTGCTTCGTCTCTTCTGCATGCATTTAAGTTAAGTTACTTACCTGCCTGTCATCTCCTGTACAGTGAGCTGTACAAATGCAGATCCCTGCACAAATGTGACAATGCCAAAGCTGACAGAACTCTCGTGCATGCGCTGAAGTGATGTCATCTGTGCCCAGGCCAATGACAGCATCCGGTGATCGAGACCAGGAAGTCGGCTGCCTGAAAACCAGCTTTAAAGGCCAAGTTCACCTTTGCAAAAAAATAAATAAATGCACGTTTTTGCAGTAAAAAAGTGCATTTATGTATTTCTTTTGTACAGGAGCCTGCAAAGTATTGCACCTACGATCAGTTGGTTGGGGGTGCAATGTCAGGCTTCTGTAAACTCCTCCAGGTCTCTGCTTCTACCTCCTTTGATGGGTTTTCACTTGGAGAGCTGGAGGAAGTGTCAATGGACCACAGTGGCAGACCTTGTAGTTCATTCATTCATTCATAGAGCTCTGTAAATAAATGAGGTGGCTAAAGGGACAGCGGGAGAAGAACACCCACATGCTGTTAAGGAGGGAGGTGGCAGCCATAGTTGCACCATGTCACATGCTGCACCCTAAATACAGGTGGAGAATTTTTCCCAGAACCATGCCAAGAAGGCACACTGATCTGTGAATTTGAGCCTCCGTATACATATAGAGAAAAGGAGCTGGTAGGCAAAAGAGACATACAGGGGTTGATTTACTAAAGGCAAATAGGCTGTGCAGTTGCACTCTGCTAGTGCAATTGCTCCAGAGCTTAGTAAATGAGGTGAAGCTTCATTTTACAAACAATATCCAATCACATGCAAGGAAAATTATAAAAAAAAAAACTGCATTTTTGCTTGCACATGATTGGATGATGGAAGTCTGCAGAGCTTCTCATTTACTAAGCTCTGGAGCAGCTCCACTTGCAAAGTCTTTAGTAAATCAACCCCACAGAGTATGCCTATAAGGCAATAGTTCCACTTTTAGGACTTTTTCAGCTAGTGGCCAAGAACAAGCCTACAGACCAGGACTTCTGATTTTACTTGCTTCTACTGGGCCATTGATTCAGAGACAAGTTTAGACAGCCAGACAGCCTTTTCTGAAGGAAAGAAATCAGTGCCTTCATATTTCGGATGATTACATAGAAAGGGAATGTTAAAAAATGTTGCAATTCGTTTATAAAATTAATGGTTCTTTTATCTCTTCTCTTCAGGGGTGGGCTCCTCTTCCTCATCACTATGGGATTTAATGGGCAATGTGCTTGTTACTCCTCAGTATGTACGTTTGACCCCAGACCAGCAAAGCAAACAGGGGGCCATCTGGAACCGAATGGTAAGATATCTGCAAGATCATTAGGCGTCTTGTAAAAAAATGTGTTCGAGAGAAGAGTTTTTTAGACAGGTTTGAACAGGTATTCCTCTCATACGGGGGACTGGAGTGGCAGTTTCCATATATGTGGCAGTAAGCTGATCAGCAATTGTTTGACACTTTGTTCATGTCTCAATTCTTGTGATTATCCTCCATACAAAAAGCAGCACAGGTCCATTGCTCATAAGGGAAGGGTTTTATGGGTTAATCTTGACAATAAAAGATCTGCTTGGGGGATAGAAGACCTAAAAGGCAGATGATGATTTGTCTTTCTTCTTTCACATAATATACATTGGGATCTGATAACAAAAAAAAAAAAATTTTTTTTTACCAAAACTGTATTTAAATCTGAGGTGCTATTAGGAATGTCTGGGACTTTTAAAATCAAAAGAGGCTCCATGGTGACTTAAACGTTTAATTTTTTTAACATTGCACTGTATGTCTTCTCCTCCCCTCCCTGCCTATCTCCAGCACCGCACCAGTGTAATGAGCACCAATTGGGTGCTCGTCAGGGAAGGGAAGTGTCGGGCTTATCCTTTGTCCTTTTCGATGCCAGAGCCATTTTTTGCTTTTTTAAAAAAATCATTTTAGGCTTAAAGATTACAAAAAACCCCCAAAACATTATAGACCCTAGAGAATAAAAAAGTGGTAGTTCCAATTTTTTTATGTCGCACGACAATATTGCAAAGGTCTAGGAAACGCAAAATTTCAGTAAAAAAAATACACTTAAATTCATTTTAGGGCACAAAAAAGCAATAAATTACCCTATTTTTTGTAAAATATAAAAGATGAGGTTCCACCGAGTAAATGGAATATCCAACATGTCAAACCTTCAATTTGCGTGTGCTCGTGAAATGGCGACAAACTTCAGTACCCTATATTTTCTATAGGCGACAATTTTAAAGCCCCTTATAGGCCATCAGTATAGTGTTACGGAGGAGGTCTGGTGCTAGAATTATTGCTCTCATTCTGGCATGCATGGCGATATGTAACGTGTATCGCAATAAACATTTTCATGTGTTGGCGTGCGGTTTTACTTTTGTATGTGTGTATATGTTGAGGAAGGGAAGGGGGGTCTTAATTTTTTTTTTTTTTTTTTGATGGGATGTTATGTGCAACTTTGATATATATATTTTTTTTTCTTTTACTAATAAAACAATTTTTATTTTTTATTTTCATCACATAGGGGACAAAAAGTCCCCTATGTGATGATTTTTTGGTGAAAGGTTCTCTTTAATTACACATCCAGGGTCTAAAAGACCCTGCATGTCTACCCTGTGCTCCCCTGAATGTAATGTAGTATACATCAGACAGGCAACTAGCCTTTTGAGATGGAGGTCCATCTCTATACATGATTTGGTGATTTAAATGTGGATTGTTTGGGAAAACATTTAGACTTAGTTAGAGGGTACTTGAATTAAATGTAGAAATGCCAGGAGGCACTTAAGATGAGAATGCCCATTGAAGGGGATACTTGGTAAAAACAGAGTACATGCATGCTAAAAAGCATCCATACAGGTAGTATTTTGCTCTTTATTGTGCAAACATGCCTTAATAATACAATATTTGTGTTTTTCAGCCATGTTATTTGAGAGATTGGGAGCTACAAGTCCACTTCAAAATTCATGGCCAGGGTAAGAAGAATCTAAATGGTGATGGCTTTGCTATCTGGTACACGAAGGATCGGATGCAACTAGGTAAAGATGGTTATCTTCCTCCTCTATCTTTTATTTCAAGGCACCATATTTTGAATATGCACTGAGCCTCGTGTTGTGTTTACAGGTCCTGTGTTTGGGAGCAAAGATAACTTTATTGGTCTAGGTCTATTTGTAGATACCTACCCAAATGAGGAAAAACAACATGAAGTAAGTGTGCCATTTCACCAATACATTACTCCATGTTTTATGTCTTTTAATGGTGTATTCATGTAACCAGTGATCACACTAATTAAATTTAATTTAATTTAATTTGGCAGCTTGTCAGTCTACTCTAGGAGTCTGTAGGAACTGTTTTTAAAGGATAATTGTAGATGTTCCTACATTCTATAGAAAGACTCATACTTGGATCCAGCTGCAATTTTAAAGGTTTTGGCTACCTGGTTTTTGGATTTGTCCAAAAATATTTACATGGTTTTGGACCTCATTTACTAAAGTATCTGAACTAGTGGTGCACTGAAATGAAAATTCTGGACCAAAACCTAAAATTCAGGATGCATTTGGCCAAATACCAAACAACAATGGACCGTTTTTAAAAAATAGATATATATTTTTTTTTCCACTTATTTTTTATTAATATTTTTTCATGTTTACATAGCATTGAAAAAGGCAGTGCTATGAAACATTCCATTACCAAATAGTTACACACAAGTTTCCAATACATAAAGACATTTAGACATATCATACAAGAGAGAAGGGAGGATGGCTAGGAGTAACCACAGCTCCCTGTAGCTTTAAGGCAAAGGGTACATTAAGGCAGTTATTCAAGAGAACAAAGGTTGCCTGAGGTGTTCCCCACTGTAGGGCGGGGCAGCGACAGGAAAAGATGATTTTCTAGTTGAGAATGACTGACTGGGGTCATATGTGGGGAATTCAGGAAAGTGGGCAGCTTCTAAGGTCGTGAGACCACCCTATCAATTTTTCGTGGAACTTCGTGATCGTCAGATGTGCTTTGGCAAACATACATTCCATTAGGTACTGGTCATTCAAGAGGGAGATTACCATTTGTATGGTGGGCGGGAAAGGTTTCTTCCACTTACAGGCTATGGACAGTCTGGTAGCTGAGTATATGGGTGACGAGAGCGTGTTGGTGGGGGCCAGGCACTGAGACCTACACCCAAGAGGGCCATCTGAGGACTTAGTTGGACTAAGCATCCTGTCGTTGTACGGAGGAGGTGATTTACGTTAGTCCACAGCTTCTTAAGCGGGCAAGACCACCAGATGAGGATCAAGGATCCCTTCACATCACAATTTCTCCAGCATTTGGCTGAGGTGGAGGAGAAGATTTTAGCCAACCTGGTGGGGGTGTAATACCATCTGTAGAAGATTTTCATAGTCAATTCCCAGTGGGAAATATTCCTGGAGAATGAGCGAGGGTTGTGTAGCGCCTGGTGGCATGTGGAAGTCCAATGTCCGTTCACAGGACTTGATCGCATTGTTTTTGAAAGTAGTGGGCAAAGTTTTGAAAAGATTGTAGATGAAAGAGAGGCCTTTTAGCTTTGGTTGTCGGGAAGTGTACAACTGAATGAGATTGTCGGCAAAATGCGTAGGAGACCAGATTATTGGTGCAAGGATGTGCCGTATGCGGAGGTAGAGATTGAAATCCTGTTTCAGGATTTATGATAATTCTTATATGAAATTCTCAGTACATTCAATAACTTGACAAAGGTCATTTGAAAGTACTTCAAAATTTATTTTGCTGCTTATAACATTCAGTTTCCGAATGAATGAACATTCCTGAACAAAAACAGCCTACACCATTCAAAAATGTTCATTCCAGAAAAAATATCCATCATGCTCATTTGAATTTTCTTATCACTGTCGTCAAACCCCACTATAACAATTAGAAAATTGAACAATCATTCTTAAAATGAAAAAGTTGAACAAAATGTTACTAGTGTATGGTCAGCTTAAAGGATAAGTTCACCTTTTAGGAACATGTTACATGTTTCACCCGTTTTTTAGGGTGGAACATGTAACATGTTCCCATAGCCGCCTCCTGCCGCCACCCTCCCTCTGACGTATAGTACGGGGAGAATTTTCTCCCTGTACTGTCCAATTTGAACCCACATGGACACATCATTCATTCACAGACTTCCTTGAATGAATGAACTGCAAGTCCCGACAGCCTTAGCAGCTGTAGGCTTATAGTTTTCAATTAACTACGACAGCACCGTGGTAGTTCATTCAAGCTTCCTGTCAGCATATCTGCTTTTTGTCTAAAAAGTGAACTTACCCTTTTTAAGGCTCCATGCACCATGGCTTAAAGGATACGTTCACCTTTCCAAAAAAAAATTAATAAATGCACATTTTTTGCAGGTAAATAAATGTGCATTGCATTTATTATTTTTTGTGTTGAAAGCATTCAACAGCATCAGCAGATCGCTGATGCCATTCAGGTCTCCTGAAGACTGTCAGTGTATCTGCTTGCTCGTACATCCTGTATGAGCAAGCTGATACTTCTGACAGGAAGACTCGATGAACTACCACAGAGCTCACAGCACCATGGCTGTTCATTGAGGACTACAAGCTGACAGCAGCAAAGGATGTTGGGACCTGTAGTCCATTCATTCCAGAGGACTGTGAATGAATGATGTAGCCATGTGGGTGGAGCCCTGCACTGCCATGCTGTCTTTGAAAAGTGACAGCTAGTACGGGGAACTTCTCCCCATGCTACTGTCATAGGGAGAGGGGGCAGTGGGCGGCGACTGCAGGGTTTGGAACATGTTACACGTTCCACCCTAAAAACGGGTGCAACATGTAACATGTTTCCAAAGGTGAACGTGCCCTTTTTAAAGTGTTACTAAACCTACAAAAGTAAAATTAATCTGTATATGCAGTAGTAAAAAATGCTTGTTATACTCACTGTGGAACCTAAGGGGTTAATCCTCTGCATTGTGTAAAACGTCTGTTTAAATCCTGTCTTCTCTGATCCTCCCCTTCTACTGTCCCCAATCCATCTGCTGATAGTACAATGCTCTAGGAGTCACTCTGCACATGCTCAGTTTAATGTGCATTGCTAGTGAGTTTTGTTTGTTTTTTTTTGTTTGGGAGGATGCATGTGATCAGCACAGGGCCAATCAGCACTGTCCAGATAGAGGGACAGGGGGTTATGCAGCCTCATAGGACAATCGGCGCAGAATGAAAACTCCTCCTACAAGCTTTAACCAGTGCTTAGATGGACACTGATAGAAGTCACAAGACTGCTATATACTGCTGATGAGAAAAGGTATTTAGCAGTTTTTATAATTTTTTTTTTTTTTTTTTTTTTTTTTTTTTTTTTTATTCTTTTTATTGAAGTTTGGTATAAGATCCAACATACAAAAAATTTAAATTATAGCTCCAAAGTTGATGAGCAATGTAAGAAAAGAAAAAAAAAAAAAAGAATATATAACAAAACAATTCCTGTGCCTGCAAATGTCCCGATTCAGTACCCAGAGAAGGATGGGCAAAAAAAAATATAATACAAGAACATTTCACTATAATTCACTGTACAAAGTTACATTTAAGAGAACAATCCACACCCCATTACAGAAACAAAGTGGCAAGCTTAGTTGAAGCCGTGTAGTAAACAAATCCAGTATTCAGTAAGTACCGTGGCGGAAATAAGAAAAGAAAACCAAAACTAGAGACCCCGATAGGAGAAAAACTCATTAGATTAAGACTCAATCCGAAACGGTGAGGGAGGATGCTACCCACCCACCCAAACCTTATTGGACTTGAGTGCACCTCTGTTAAGGTATGTAGCCTTGTATAGGGGTAATGACTTGTTTTGCCTGGGATTTCCAAGCCTCCACGGTGGGAGCATTTGTTTTTTTTTCAAGAAACAATTTTAGTTTTTCTAATACAATGATTGCATTTCCATGTTCTGTGTACTGTGGGAAAACGGATATAGTGAATGCAGGGTCCTGGGTTTAGTAACACTTTAAGAAAAGTGTTAAAGGAGGAGTTTGGTGTGCTGTCTGTAGAAGCAACTAATGTTATCCTTTGTGTTAATGCACATTAGGTCATTTAGAGGCATATTTTAGGCTTAGCGTTTTAGAGGCAAAAAAAAACCCTTTTGCATTCTTAAGATCGTCTTTCTGTCAAAAAACCGCTAGTACAAAAAAATTTTCAAGATTAGCATTTTTTTTAATCCAGTGTGTATGAAGCCTTATTGTGCTACTTGTGTGCCTTTTAAGACCACCTGTGTGGGTTTTTTTTTTTTTTTTTTTTTTTGGTGTTTTTTGTAGGAACCTCCAGTGATCATTCTGTGTTTTCAGCTCTCCAGATAATTGTGGTCTTTACATGATTTTAATCTGTTGTTAGCTCTTTTTTGTATATAGTTTATAATATAGAAATTTGAGCAGAAGGATTGCATTCATGTGCTTGGTTTTGTATTGGCCAGTAAGTGTCCACAGATGGGCGATCTGGCTGCTGGAGGACCTGACATAAAAAAGCCAGTACAAATGTTAAGTTCGCTATCTTTATAAAACTAAAATATCTTTCCAGAAACCTTTTTGCCTTTTTAGAAATTGAACCAAAGTAATGTTGGTGACCAATCACATCATCTGACTGCCTTTTTATGTGTAAGGCTTTTATCTAGCTTCTATTCTATCTAGTGTGTAACTAAGCTGCAATGTTTTTTGTATTGTGTGCTCTCTCCTCTGCTACATTTGGATGGCGTTCTCAGAAGAAAAGGTATTCTCCAAGCGATCAGGTATCTCTTCTGTGTCTATTAATATGCATTCTTAGTTTCACTACGTGGTGGTATATGGTAAAATTGCAATAATAGTCATTAGCTGTGGTACTGTAGACCCTCTTTCCCCAGAGTGCTTACGAAGGACTAGTCCCCTAGGAGAGCTCCCAGTGCAGTCACAATTACTGTGCTTGTTTTAGAATGATCTGCAATAACCTTATCTGGATGTGTGAGGAAGGTGAAGCTGTCAGACCAAGTACACACAGTCCCTCCTTTGTTCTTTTTTTTTTTTTTTTTTAAATTGTTGCAATTACAAATGGTTAGGCATTCTCGTCTTTATTTCTTTTTTTTTTGTATTGGTATGACACAAAAAAGTGGAGAAACAAAAAGCCAAATTTTACACTATCCATGCAAAAATGGACTGGACAATATTATTGGCACCTTCTCAAAATTGTAAGAAATATTTGCATTC